TATCAGGTTATCCCAAAATTTGGAAAAAAATGTTATTTAATGGCTTTATTCCACTGCTTGGGAATGTCTGAGGGGAAAAAAATCTCAACTTAAAAAACCCCAACCTTAAAAAAAGCCCCAACTTAAGCTGAACTCAAATTCCCAAATCTGCTTTGGAGGAGCCTCCAGAGCCTTTGGATTGGGGTCGGATCCGCGTCACACTTCCAAGATTTCCTCTTCCTCCTTTGCTGCCTCCTCGTTTTCCGTTCCCGGCTTTTCCGGATCTGGAATATTCTCCTGGCTCCCGTTCCCAGTTGGCTGCTGGCTCCTGCAGCTGCTCCTTCGGCAGGGATGGATCCAACGGGAAGTAAAAATGTAGGAGCAGCGCGACGCTCGCCGGGGGCCGAACTTTGGGACGAAACCCCCGGAACGTGGGATTGGTGCTCCATGGGACCTCAGGGAATTTCGGAAAGTTCCCGCTCCCCCCTCCAGCATTCCTGAGGATCCCAGCACCATTCCCGAGGATCCCAGCAGGGTCTCCTGTGGGTCCACGCCGAGGATGGGCCTGGAGGTGAATTCTGGGATGAAAGCCCCGGAACGTGGGATTTGCGCTCCATGGGAGCTCAGGGAGGTTCCTGAGGATCCCAGCGCCATTCCTGGGGATCCCAGCGCAATTCCCGAGGATCCTTCTGGCATTCCCGAGGATCCCAGCACGGTCTCCTGCGGGCAGGTGCTGAGGATGGGCCCTGGGAATGTCACGAGCACGGGAGGAGGGAAGATGATGACGCGGGAAGCGGGGCAGGAAACCACGCAGGGCTGGCTGGAGCCGGAGGCCGCTGGCCCCGGACATGGCCCCTGGAATTCCGAGCACATCTGGGAAGAACCAGGGAGAACCTGCAGCCAGAAGAGCAAAAATATCCAGGAATTAGAAAATGTATTCCTGGTTATTTGTAAATCCCAGTGGGAAAAAAACCTTGCTCTACTTAATGTTTATTTTAGTTTTATTTTACTTGATTTAATCCAATTTAAAATGTATTTTTAATTTAAAAAATATTTAGTTCTTTAATTTTATTTTTTAAAATTAGGTTTAATTATCATTGTATTTTTAAAATTAAGGCATTTTTAAAAATTTTATTTCATTTTCAGTTATTTTTAAATTTCATCCCGTTTCTTAATCTTCGTTTTTAAAATCCTGTTTAATTTTCGTTGTGCTTTTAAAATTCAGTTTTTTAATTGTAGTTTTAAAAAATCATTGAACATTTTAAATATTACTTTGAAACTGAACTCCCAGCTCAGTTTCTCCTTTTCCCCACCCACCTCAACCTTCCCAAAACACCCCACCCTGGCTTTTCCAGGCCGTGATTCCAGGATTTTCCATCCTTCCCGGATGATTTGTTTATCTCAACCTGCCCAGCCCTCGTTGGGATAATTACCCGGAGCAGATTACAGAGCCTGGGATCTCTCCCAGCTCCGGATCCGCATCCGGAGCGCTCCCTTCACCCTGACAGCTCCAAAATCCCTGGGATTCTGGAGAAATCCTTCCTCCACATGAACTCCCGAGGGCCCAGAACTCCACACAGAATTTTGGTGCCCAAATTTTTTTTCCCCTGGACCCTGAATCTACATTCTTGTGGAATTAATTCCAGAATTTTTCCAGGGATTTACCTGTCAGGATTCAGAGCTGTGGGATGCAGATGATTCCCCCCAAAAAAATCCCTGAAATTTGTGTCCCTGGAGGAATCCAGGCTCTTCCAGAGGCTCCTTCAGAGGTAGGTGTTGGCTTAAACTCCTCAAATTCATCAAATTCCTGGTTTTTCTCCAAAGATTCCGCTGGAAAAGTCCAGGGGAATCCTATTATTTACCTGATGGGGATTTCTATGGAGATCAAATGGGTTTTTTTCAGACAATTCCCTAAGTTTTTTGGTGGGAAAACAGCAGAATTGGAGTTTCTTCTTCTCAAAAGTGCTACAAAAATGGAGTTTTGCACCAAAGAAATTCCTTGGCTGGTTGGGAATTGGGAGAAATAACTTTTTAGGGAAAATGGGCTCAGTTTGGATCATTCTGGCAGGAAAATAAAGTGGAAAAAAGATTTTCCTCCCTTTCTATCCCATAGAAAATAAATTTGATTTATTAATAATAAATTTTTTTGAGAAAAAAAAGATAAAATCACAAGTTTTCTCTGACTTTTAATGGAAAAATATGGATAAAATGTTGCTGAGCATCTTGACCTTTAAATTTCCTTCCATCCAAAAACATTCCATGATTTTATGACAGACTCACCCTAATCCCACCAGAATTAAAATTAAAGTAACTTTTATTGTTATTGACAGTTAAATGATAATTACTACACTCCAGCAGAATTTTTTTACATTTTAACAAGAATTTTTAAACCCAAATACCCAACAAAATAATTCCCAGCAGGGAATCTCCCTTTGGAATTTTTGGAGCCACAGAATTCCCAAGAAACCCCAATTGTTTATTTCATTTTCCCAATTATTCATTTTGATTTCCCATTTTCCCCAAATTATGGGACGGAAGGGAGAGGGACTTACCAATATTCCAGGAAGGAATCACCAGGAATGTCCGGGGGAGCCCCAAATCCGTGGAGTTTTATAAGAACTCCCGAACTTCCAGGAAGCTGAGGCAGCCTTTGGGCGCGAGGGTTTAATTGCCTTCCCCTCATGTGTAATAATCTTAATTACTGGTAATTATTTCGGGGTTGTTTACCCAAATGATTCCCTTTTCCATGGGAATTCCTGTCGTATCACCCAGGATTCCTGTTGGTTTTGGGGGTTTTTTTGCAGGAAAAGTGAATTTTGGAAGGGATTTCACAATTTCTTCCTAGATTTTCAACCCTGGGATGGTTTGGGTAGGAAGGGGATTAAATCTCATCACATTCCAAAGCTTTTCCAGGGACAGGAATGCTTCCTGCTCTCCCAGCTTGCTCCAAGCCCCATCCCAGTTTTTCCTTGGGTTAAAAATGCCTCAAGGCATTAAATATTAAACATTTTTAAACATTCTCTTTTTTATTTTAAAAATTAATTTAAAAATTAATTTTAAGAATTCAAATTTAAATTTAAAAGTTTTTAAAGTTTATAGTAAATAAAAAAGTCTGATAAAAAAATTAAACATTAAAGACTAAAATATGAGGGGAAAAAATTAATCCTGTGGAAGCTGGAAAAATTTGATTAATTTCATGGAGTTTTGATGATTTCCTGAGGATTTGGGTGGATCCTCAGAGCTGAGAGAATCCCAGTATTCTGGAATTAGTGTTTTATGGAACTAATTTTGAATTTTATGGAATTCATGGTAATTTGGGGATTCTTCAGGTGGGAAGGACTCCTGCCCAAACCTGGCACGGGATTTTCAGGATGTCTCTGGAATATCCCCACTGAGGGAGATCCCAACATTCCCTGGACAATCTGTTCCAGTGGAAATTCCTGGGAATCTGTTCCTGCCCCTGGAAATTCCCCCAGGCTGAGCCGAAGCCAATTTTGGGGTGATTTTTGAGGAGAAATCGATTGGTTTGCTTCATGAATACGCAAAACACCCAGAGTTAGCCTGGAGAACAACATCCTGTTTATTTGTGGAATTTATTCCATGCAGGGGGGAATACTCCAGAGCTGCTCCGAGCCCCGAGGTGTTTTCCTGGGATAATTTGTTATTTATATCACAAGGAGAAAACACTTTGCATGCATAAATTACTCACGAATATTCCTGAGGCGTTTTGACATCCCTACGTTTTGTGGGAACCTCATTATCAGGATTATTTCCCTCATCCCGTCCCAAAAGACAATCCCAGCTTCTCACAGAATTCCAAAAAAAAATTTGGGGTTTGAATTCCTCCTTCCCAATCGAGGCCGATCCCATTGAGATTTTTTTATTGGGGTTATGATTTCGTATTGGAATAGGATTATTTATGATTATAATTTGCAGATTATTGGGAATATATGATGTCAGTTTACAGGAAAAAAACTGATATCAGGAACCTGGGGTGGGAGTTTCGATTCCCTTTGATTTCTGGGAGCGGAAACTCCTTTGGGAATCGGGAATGGGATTTTTTGAGATTCAGGCATGGGATTTTTTGGGCTACAGGGATGGGATTTTTTGTGGTGAGGATGGCATTTTTTAGGATTCAGGATTGGGATCTTTTGGGATTCAGGATTGGGATTTTTGGGATGAGGATGGGATTTTCTGGGATTCAGGAATGGGATTTTTTGGGTTGGGGATGGGATTCCCTGCGCAGTTCTCCCCTGTGGCCACCAGGCGGCAGCACCGCCCCGCGGCGCTGTTGGGTTCCCGGTCGCCTTTTCCAGGTCTGTGACTCTTCCAAGGGCAGATCCCACCCGGAAAACCTCGGGATGAGGGAGGGACAGGGGAGCAGGAGAGCCTGAGCAACGTCCTCGTGTGGAGACAACGGAATTACGGCAAAATTTCGCTGCTGCTTTGAGACAGCTGCTTTTTATTTTGTCCTCGCAACACAGCTCCGTTATCAGCAGCAAACCCACGGAATCAGGAGCTCAGATTTTTACAATTTAACCTTTTCCTGCTGATCCTTCCCCTCTTCCCCATTTTTTCCTCTCCTACTGGGAGGAAAGGCTGAGGGAATTGGGAATATCCAGCCTGAAGAAGCTTTGGGGTGACCCTACTGTGGCCTTGAAGGGAAATTTGAGATTTTTTTTTTTTTGTTTGGTTTGGTTTTTATTGTTGGGTTTTGTTTTTGTTTTTTTTTCCCCAAGGACCTGGAGTGCCAGGAAAGGGGGAATGGGTTCAGCTTGACAGGGGGGAGTTTAGGTTGGATACTGGGAAGGAATTCCCGAGGAACTTCATCCCCTCCCCCCAGTAAATCCATGGTAGTGAACCCAGCCCTAAAATTGTGATTATTTCCCTTATTTTACACAAAAGGAGCAGTGAAACAACAGGGAAAGGCTTTTTTTCCCAGCAGTAGGAATTAAAAACTGTTTAAAAAGATGGAAAATAATTCAGGCAGAGAGCAGGAATCAGCTGTAACCTGAGTTTAATGTGAGCGGTACAACCAGAGTGAAACTGATCCCACAACATAAAAACAGGGCGCAGACGTTGTCATGAAGGTGTTGGGGTGAGGCTCGAGTGGTTCAGAGCTCTTCAACCTCTACCCAACACCTTCCTGGTGCTGGAAAATCCAAATTTGGGGTCGAATAAAATGGGAGATTTGCTCTGTGAGTGGAACATGGGTACAATATGGGGTGAAACCAGGCTTGGGGAGCAGGACTGGGAATGGAGGGGGGATCATCCCAAACCAACCCTGGGCTCCAAGGGCAGTGGGGAATCACCCCAAACCAAACCCAGGCTCCAACTAGGGGGGATCACCCCAAATCAAACCCGGGCTCCAACCAGGGGTGATCACCCCAAACCAAACCAGGGCTCCATGGAGGGGGGATCACCCCAAACTTGGGCTCCAACCAGGGGGGATCACCCCAAACCAAACCTGGGTTCCGTTGAGGGGGGATAACCCCAAACCTGGGCTCCAAGGAAGGGGGAATCACCCCAAACCTGGGCTCCAAGGAAGGGGAAATCACCCCAAACCTGGGCTCCAAGGAAGGGGGAATCACCCCATGAGGATCATCCCAAACCTGGGCTCCATGGAGAGGGGAAATCACCCCAAAACTGGGCTCCAAGGAGTGGGGAGATCACCCCAACCACGGGCTCAAGGCGGGGATCACCCCATGGGCATCACCCCAAACCCTGGGCTCCATCTCCCGCGGCATTCCCGACTTTTCCCGCCCCTCCCTCACCAGAGCCACTTGGAAGCGGAGCGGCTTTTCTTGGAGTGGCTGGAGCGCTTGGCCCCGGCCGGGGCCAGCCGGGAGGGCCGCGGGGCGCCCCGGGGGTGGTGGTGGCCACAGCGGGACTTGCTCAGGTGCTGCGCGGAGCAGCTCCTGCCCTTGGTCGCCTCAAGCGGCAGCGAGCCCTTGGCCACTGCCCGGAGCGGGGGACACTCCTTGGTGGCCTTGGTGACACCGTGCGTGGCGGTGGCGGTGGCGCTGCTCAGGCGCTGCTCCGAGGAGCAGCAGGTGACAAATTCCTGCGTCGGGTACCCCTTGGAGCAGCGGTGCGGGTCGACCCCGGCCAGCTGCTCCTGCAGGAAGGAGCGAGTGACGCTCTGCTGCGGGGGACACTCGGTGACACCTCGCAGCGGCAGCGAGTAGCCGCCGCTCAGCTCGGGGCAGCGCGGGAGGCACGTGGCCACCTTGTGCGAGCGGCACTCGCCGCGGCACGACGCCGAGGAGCAGCGGATGCCGCACGGGGGGAAGCGCAGCCGGCCCGGCTCGGGGCAGCGCGGAGCGCATGGCGGGAGGCTCTTGGCCACGCGTTTCTTGGCGCCGCGGGGGCTCTGCGGGGCCGGCAGGGTCTGGGGGATTCCGGAGCCCCTCGGGCGGGGCAGCAGCCGCGTGGTCTCGCAGGGCTCAGGGTAGAGCAGGAGACATTTCTGCACCAGCGGCTGGCACGGCAGCAGCGACATCGCGGTGGCACCTTGGGGACAGCTCTGCCAGCGCGGCGCCGGGCCCTTGGTGATGCTCAGGGGGTGGCAGGTGTTGGCGAAGGGCTCAGGGTGAGCCGGGCATGGCGGGAGCAGCTCGGGGATGAATTTGGGGCCCGGCAGGAGGAGCGGCGTGCAGCGCTCGCCGGGGCAGTGCATGGCGGAGCAGGGTTCAGAGCTGTGGGAAAGAAAACAGTGATTTTTTTTGGTCTTTTTTGGTGATTCAGCAGCAAAGCTCGCCCGCACGCCCCGCTCTCCTCGCGGCCCGTGACTCAAAGCAGGGCGTGTTTGGGAGGGGAGAGAAAATTCTGTCCTCGGCTCCAGGTTCTGCTCTCGAAAGCCTGAAAAAATCCGGAATTTCAGCCAGGCCGGTTCGTGCCACCCTCCAAACCGCGGTGTTTCACCTCCCGAGCTTTTGGGCGACTCCCGAGCACCTCGGGGCCCTCCCTGGGTCACCCTTTCAAGTTGAGCTCCCGTGAGATGAAAGACGAGCCAAAATTACAGGTGTGGCCACCCTATAATAGCTGGGTGTAGCCACGAAGCCACGCCGAGGCTCAGGAAGGGTTTGGGGCTCTCTGGAGCTCTGATCTCACAGGGATTTGGGGTCTGGGATGGGGCAGGAACAGCCGTGGATCTCTCTTAGGGCAAATCTCGGGGTTTTTTTTTAGCAAATGCAGCAAAATTTTCGGTGGAGGAAAGGCAAAAATTAAGGCAAAACCCCAAGTGGATAAAAGGATTAAATACCCCAGAAGATTTGGGGTTGGAATGGACACGGAGCAGGTGACATAGGGTTGGACATAGCTCCAGCTTCACTGATTTTGGGAGAATTGCACCCAATAAATCAGCCCCCAGTGCTGCATCACTGTTCTCCTCTGAAAAGTCTTCCTTTTTCTTGGAAGTCATAGGAAAAAACATCCTGCTCCACAAAAACTCCCATTTTAGGGAGTTTTCCCAGGTCCAAGCAGGATTATTTTGACCAAAAATGGTTTCATTCCAATATTATTTTTTTTTAGAGCTAAGCACTAAATTAAAAAAAAAAAATCTACATTGTAGATTGTGTAAAAAAAAAATAAATTAAAGTTATATATTTTCTAAGCACCCCGAATTCTATCATTCCAGGGTTTAAGGTTTCATCTTCCCAAATCCTAAACCGAGACAGAGTCACGTGTCCGGCTGGTTAGGAAAACTCGTTATCATCACAATCAAAACAATCATTGTCCAATAAAAACAACAATGGCAGCAATTACCGCAACAGCCGAAGCTCATTAGAACAAAGCGCCTCTTAATTAGGGAGATTGTTTATGCTTCCCACTCGTTTTTAGGGGGTTTAGCCGGGAATTTTTAGGAATTGGGGATTTTTCCCGTCTGAAATTCCGTCAGCTCCTTGCTTTGGTCGGGGAAAAAAAAAAATTCTCTGTTTGGAATTCCATAAAAGCAGAAGGGAATTCCTCCGGTTCCTTCGGAGGAGACTTCTTGGCTCTTCCCATCCCACGCCCGATTCCCGCCGGGTTCCAGCCCTTTACGGACCCAAATCCTACCGGGAAAAAAAGCAGGAAAACCCCCCCAAAAATCCCATTCCCTAGGGAATTTCTTCCCCATTTTTCCTCAGAGCAGCTCCCGCCGGAAGAGCTGTGTATCCCAAAAAGGTGGAGGAGCATTCGGGGATAAAAAGGAGAATTTTGGGAGTTCCAGGACTTACCCAGGTCATGAGGGGGAAGAGCTGGAGAGAAGAGCCCGGGAAAGGCCTGGGCTGGCCGGGTTTTTATGGAGCCCGGGAATGCCCCAGGGAATTTTGAGGAGGTTGGGTTTGGCTTTAATTGCACCCCAAACCCGGCCACGTGCGGCTCTGGCTCCCAGGGATGTCCTGGATCACCGGGATCCAAGAGGCTGGGCCAGCAAAAAAAACGACTGGAAAATCAGAGATCCTCAGGGGTGCTAAATTTTCCCGAAATTCCAGCCGAAACAGCCCTTTACACCCCCCCCCCCCCCCAAAAAAAAAAAAAAAACAAAAAAACCCCAAACAAATAAAAAACCTGGAAAACCAAGGATCCTCAGAGGTGTCAAATTTTCCTGAAAATCCAGCTGAAACAGCCCTTTCCATTCCCCCCGCAAAAAAACCAAAAAATCAACCAACCAACCAGCCAAAAAACCTTGGAAAATCGAGGATTTTCTGGGATGCCAAATTTTCCCAAAATTCCAGCCAAACCAGTCCTTTCCACTCCCCCCCCCCCCAAAAAAAAAAAAATCCCAGTGGATCCCAGCCAAGGGAAAAGAAGGAATTCCTCATTCCCAGGGGAGCTGCAGGCAGGAATCCCTTTGAAAATCCATCCAGGAAGGACTCGGGGCATCCCATAATTAGTGGGACACGCGGATTCTTTCCCGGGAATCCAGGGGAGACAGGAGGGATCATCAGGACAGCTCCCAAAAATTCCCTGTCTCAAAGGGGCCAGTGCTGCCCCGGCACCACAAAGAGGGGAAAGGAGCAGGCTCATCCCAAAAAAAACCCCAAATTCCCATTTCCTGCTCCATGCCCTTTGTTCCCCGTTTGTCCCACAAGAAAACCCCAGGGAAAATGAGCAGGACTGGGAATGCCGACTTTGGGAGTCACTTCTGCATGAGGGAAGGGGCCTGGAATTTGGGGGTTTGGGGGTGGTTTTTTTTGGTTTTTTGGGGGTTTTTTTTGGTCCCTTGGATTTTATTTTTTTTTTTGTTCCCTTTTATATGAATCGGACACTTTTGAATTGTAGGGATTCAGGTGAGGTGCCTGAAAAAGAGGGGAATTTTCATGGAATGTCCTCCTTGGAAGGGACCAAATCCAACTCCGGGCCCTGCGCAGAATTTCCAAAATTCCCAAAACTGGGAAAACGCTCCTGGAACCTTGGGAATGTGACCATTGGTCGGTGCCCAGCCAAAGAATTCCATGACTAGAATATCAGAATATTTGGAGTATTGGAATATTGAAATATTGGAATATTTGGAGTATCTTAATATTTAAATATTGGAATATTTGGATTTTGGAATATTGTGGTATTTGGATACTGGAATATTGGATTATTGGAATAATTGAATATTAGAGTGTTGGAGTATAGGAATACTGAAATATTTAAACATTTGAATATTGGAGTATTTGAATACTAGATTATTTGAATATTGGAGTATTTGAACATTGGAATTTTGGAATATTTGGAATATCAAGCTCCAAACTATGACCCGCGACCTAAATTTCCCATTTTATTTCCTGCTTTCCCAGGAGCCTGGAGGCAGCCTTGTGATTTCCATTTAATTTCCTGGCAGCACAGGAAATCCCAGGGACAGGGCGCCGGCCTTCCAGGCGGATCCCAACATTCCAAGGGATCAAGGGAGGAACCCGAAGGCAAATCCCGGCTCCAGCCCGGATTCCTCTCACTTTTATGGATTCTCCCTGCCCTGAACAACAACAACAACAACGAACTTTTTAATGCTGAATTCCCTGACCCGAAATTCTGGGAATAAACAAGCGTCGGAGCGTGGGTTAGGCCAGGTTTTATGGGAATTCCTTGGGAAGCTCGGGATCAAGGAGAGCTCCTAATTCCTGGTTGTGTGTGCCCAGTGCAGGGAGCGGAGCATTAACGTGTGACCTGGCATTAAAAAAAGTTCTTAATTAGCACCCAATGTCCTTAATTAACATTTGCGAGGCCCTTTCATCTCCTGGTGTCTCCTGGGAAATTTTGGGGGGGGGGGGGGGTCATTTTTCCCAATTAAACGCTGGGGAAACTGAGGCACGGCTGAGTCAGGGCCAACCCCGTCCAAAACATCCCCAAATCCTGCTGACCCCAAAATCCAGGATCCACCCCCAAAGGAGGATTTTCTGGAAGATTCCGTGGGAAAAGCCACAAGGCCACCCTGAGATGGGACAACTTCTGCAAAGGTCATGGAGGGGCTGGGAATGTTGGGAAGGTTGGGAATGTGGAGACCCCAGAACCCCTCCAGGATCTGCAGGGGCTCCAGAGAGGCTGGAGAGGAAATTTTCCTCAGGAACTGCAGGGACAGGACACAGGGAATGGGGTCAGGGGGACAAGAGGGGAATTTGGGTGGGATTTTGGGAAGGAATTGTTCTCTGCGAGGGTCCCAGGTGATTCCATGGATTTCCCATCCCTGGAAGTGCCCAAGGCCAGGTTGGACCCACCTGGGAGAGGGGAAGGTCCCTGCCCATGGAACTGGGGGGGATTTAAGGTTCCTTTCCACCCCAAACCATTCCAGAATTCCCTGGGCCAGTTTGGATGGGATTTTAGGGATAAATCCTTCCCTGGCCCAGGTTATTCCAAGGATTCCCCATCCCTGGGAATGTCCAGGGCCAGGCTGGAGCCACCTGGGATAGGGGAATGTCCCTGCCTGTGGAATGGGATGATTTTGACATCTCTCCAACCCAAAGCATTCCAGGACTTTATCCTAATTTTAGTGGATCCAACAGATCCCTGAAACCCAAACCATTCCAGGATTTTATCCCGATTTTAAGCGGATCCAACAGGTCCCTGAAACCCAAACCATTCCAGGATTTTCCCCCTCAGTTTCTGGGGGATCTGGAGGGTTGGATTGTGGGATCATGCCTGGCTCTGGGGGTGGCAGATTTTCAACATTCCCTGCTGGAAACAAACCCCAAACTCCCAGGAAAAGGAGGCACCGGGATCTCCCAACACTTCCAGGAGCTCTTGGACAACTCCAGGTGGCACCAGGAGGTCACCGAGGCAGGGAGGGGCAGGACAAGATGCGGGACAGCGTCCCCAGCCCGGCCACACCCTCCTGTCCCCTCTGGTCACCTCGTGAGCTCCTGCTCATTTTCCTAATGATGGGGCTCATCCATGGCTTTTTCTAGCCTGGATTTTGCTGGACTTAATAAATAAATATTTAATATTAAACAAATATTTAATATTAAACAAATATTCCCATTAAATAATTTTATATTGAATAAATATTTCTATTAAATAAATATTTCACATTAAATAAAGATGTCACGTTAAATAAATATAATAGTATTAAATATTTATAATGTGAATTTAAAATAATCATAATAATATTAAATAAATATTTCTTTAATTAAATAAAAAAACACCAAGAGGCAGAAACTCAAGATTTTAATCCGAGGTCAGACAAGAATGTTTATTTAAGTTTATACATATATATGTAAAATAATAGTATATTTCTGTAAATAAATTTGTTTTCAGTGCACATCTTCAACATAAAGAATTTAATGAATTACCTTTCTATTGAAACGTTTATAAAACAACCCTGCTATAACTTTCATTATTTCAAAGAGTTTTCATTTCAAGTTGTGTTTTTTATCTTGATCAAAGAATACAAACTTGGCAAGGAACATTTGGGGAATTGCTGTTTGGGGACTCTGCGGGAGTCAGGGGTTAAAAAACCAGGGAATTCTGGCCAGGTTCCCAGGGATTATCCTTGTCACACACCTGGTGGTCACCAGGGCCACTTGGGGGCTGAGCAGTATTTCTTGGAGTGGCTGGAGATCTTCACTCCACCGGACTGCTGGGGGACACACTTGGTGGCACTTTGCTGGGGGACACATTTGGTCACACACTGCTGGGGGACACCAACTGTGCCACACTGCTGAGTGACACTCTTGGTCACACATTGCTGGGGGACACACTTCGTGGCACTTTGCTGGGGGATGCATTTGGTCACACACTGCTGGGGGACCCCAACTGTGCCACACTGCTGAGTGACACTCTTGGTCACACATTGCTGCGGGACACACTTGGTGGCCCTTTGCTGGGGGACACACTTCGTGGCACTTTGCTGGGGGATGCACTTGGTCGTACCTTGCTGGGGGACGCATTTGGTCACACACTGCTGGGGGACCCCAACTGTGCCACACTGCTGAGTGACACTCTTGGTCACACATTGCTGCGGGACACACTTGGTGGCCCTTTGCTGGGGGACACAAACTGTCCTATACTTCTGGGTGGCACCTTTGGTGGCACTTTGCTGGGGGACACAAACTGTCCTATACTTCTGGGTGACACCTTTGGTGGCACTTTGCTGGGGGATGCACTTGGTCATACCTTGCTGGGGGACACATTTGGTCACACACTGCTGGGGGACACAGATTGTCCCACATTGCTGGGGCACACACCTGATGGCACTTTGCTGGGGGACACCCTTGGTCACACACTGCTGGGGGACACACTTGATGGCACTTTGCTGGGGGACACATTTGGTGGCACTTTGCTGGGGGACACAAATTGTCCCACACTGCTGGGGGACACCCTTGGTGGCACTTTGCTGGGGGACACAAACCATCCCGCTCTGCTGCTGCTGTGGGACACAAATGCTGGCCCCACCGGTGTCACACTGCTGGGGGACACACTTGGTGACACACCTGCTGTGCCACTGCTGGGGGACACTGGCGGTGACACTCTGCTGCTGCTGGGGGACAGGCGCTGTCACCCACTGGTACGAGACGCCCCGGGTCGCGCGCTGCTGGGGGACACAGCTGGTGACACACCTGGGGACACCCTGCTGGGGACAGACGCTGGTCACGCACTGCTGGGGGACGCACCTGGTGGCACTCTGCTGCTGTGGGACACCCTTGGTGACGAACGGCGGCCGCGGCACGCAGGTGGTGACACACCTGGGGACAATCTTCTGCTGCTGGGGGACGCACTCAGGCGGTGGCACCTGCAGCTGCTGCGGCACGCACTGGGTGACGCCGGTGACACCCGCGCCGCCCGTCACGCGCTGCTGCGGCACGC